CGCGGGGGGGAGTGAGCCAGGAAGTCGACAGGGAGCGGTCTCTCTCTGGTGAAGGGGCTGGGGCTGTGGCAGGACTGGAGCCGGCAGGGCAGGGTGGGGCCTGGCTGCACCAGGCTCCGCAGCCAGCTCCCGGGAATACGTGGCCAGAGCCGAGCTGCTACGGCCCTTTAAAATCGGTGGGGCCATGTCACACCAGCATCCTGGTGTCTGCTGGCATCTTGCCCTCTGGCTCATGCCCTGCCTCCTCGCGCCAGAGCTACACGCAAGCAGCCCGGTGGCAAGAATCGCTGCACTTCCCCCTTCCTGGCAACGCTCTGCTCCTCCTCCGCCGGCTGGCGGATCGGATGGGGCCGCGCTGCCCATAGTGCGGGCTTCGGCCAGCTCGTCACAATGGTCCACCGGGCAGTCCGCCCCTGCACTCGCCAGCTGGTAAAATCTACTCGCCGCGGGCGAGTGTATTTGTCGAGCCCTGTGTGTGTGTGTGTGTATTAAAAAAAAAAGTAACTATTTAAAAACTAATTAACAATTATAAAGAACTTTGGTTTTAAAAAGTATAATCATGTAGACGCGAAGAAGCTAGGGAGCACTGCTGAGTAGAGAAGAAACTGAGGAGTGGGACGGGAGGGGCTCGCTCATGTGTGATGCCTACAGCCTAACAGCGTGCGACTGCTGGTGCACACCAGTGCGGCCCCAGGGACGCTGCTGTGAAATCTCCTATGTGAGGCTCGGCGGCAGCGCGACAACCTAATGTGGAGCACACATGGGGATCTCTCTCGAAGAAGAACTTAAGTTTTAGCTCAAGCAGTTCAGATGTTTGGGTTGCTGTTAGATTTAGTGGGGATTATTTATTGTCATTATCAGGGCTCGACAAATAATGTAATCTACTCACCCGAGGCGAGTAGATTACCACCCGAAAGAGCCAGCACAGAGCCATCTGCACATGCGCAGAGCGTAGAACTGCATAGCTGGCGAGCAAGGCTCACCGCCGCTTGGCAAGCCCTGGTGATTATGATGGGGCGTACTCGCTCTGCAACACTGAACGGGATGGAGTTAACTCCATCTTGAGAGTGGAGGAGGCCACACCCCCTTTACTCTACTGGGTATGCTCGGGCTGCAATGCTATAAAAGAGAGCAGCTCTGCTCAGTTGGATCTGGCAGCTGGA